GCATTTTAAATGTGCACTAAGAGCCATACTTTCAGGGGCAACTTCTTAGGGAGTACTTTTTGTGATAAAGAGGTTTGTGGAAATGGTGATTTGCATTATGTCATGAAAATTGCACGTGCTACTGATCAGCTGGTAGGAAAGATTTAATCTTGCAGGAGGGAACACTATAAGCAAATACTCTGAAGTTAATGTATATGTATATGTATGCGCATGCATATACTCACGTGTACACACACATACACATACACACACACACACACACACACACGCACACAGCCTTGGTGTGGGTATGTTTAGGTGAAATAGTACTTTAATTCCTTGTTTAACTTTGATTTCTTTCCCTATTGAATTTTTTTTAAAAAGAGGACTTAATTTGGTAGTTTTCAAATTATACTTGTTAGTGAGAAGTTCTGGCCAAATGAATTTGAACAGAGCTAGACAGCATATCTCCCTCTTAGATGTTTTTTAATTTAGTCTGGAATGTTAAAAATTTGAGAACTGCTGTGGTAAGGAAACCTGTTTTATGTTGTTTCTGGTCATAGTGCAAACTAGTTACTGTAGGGACCCCCTTTATTCCAAATGAGCTAGATTCTAGGTTTTTAAAAATATTATTGTTGTGTTTTGGGGACCTTGAAAAAGATGGGAGATACTTCTCACAAAAGAGACCAAAACCAGATAAGAGTGCAATGATAGCAGGCAGATGGTAGAGTCTGTGCTGGCCTGAAAGTAGATGCCAATTGCTGTGAATTCCCCATACCTAGAAAGCTAAGCTTTGGGCAAGCATATTTCTCAGTGGCAATACTGAAAGCTAGAAACAATAGAAGAGTATCTAAAGATCTGAGAGCAAGTGTGCCAGCTTCCTGTCACTAAAGCAGATGCTTGAGATAATCAACCTCTAACAAGAGAAATTTGTAGGTTCCAGTCTTTGTTTGGTTGACCCTATTTATTTGGGCTTTTGATACGTCAAGAAATTCTGGCCAGTGTGTATATGTAGATCAAAACCACTCACTTCATGACTTGGAAGTGAAGGGGACAAGAGGGTGGGGGCAGGTCCCACAATCTCTTCCAAGAGTGTGACATAAAGGTTGCATAACCCCCCCACCCTTCAGGTTTCTACATCTTCTCACTAGCCCCAAGCTAGAGCCTGTGAGAGGCATTTCAATTCTAAGTTACAGCAGTAAGTTTTAAATTGGATTGCATGGCTCCCGACATATTCTGAAAAATGATGAGAAATATAAGAAGCAATATTTTAAAAAATAGTAAACATTTCTGTAAATCAAGACAGTATTTGAATATTTGTATAAAATAATAATGACTTTTTACACATAGTAAAAAGGGCTAAAAAATTGGCCAATATGCTTATAGCAAATAGATCAAAGAGAGATGAACACAATTAAATAATCTAATTTCCTCTACACTTTCTAAGATAATTTCTCTTTTCAAAACTTAAAAGATGTATAGTAAAACTTCAAGGGGGAAAAACTAAATGAATAGAACCAAGATGTGTAAATATCAAACAGAAGAAAAATATTAAGCAAAAATACCCCAAGTCCAGTGCCAAATATTTATTTTATGCACATTTACATACATATACACCTATATACCACATGTAATCATTTATATGTAAAATCATGTATATGCAAAAGCTATTTTATAAAGATTATATATATGAAAATTTTACATGAACAGGATATTAATCAAGCAAGTCAATAGAAATATTTAAAATAAAAATAAATGCATGTAATTTAAAACGTTATACTAAACACAGACTTTCAGATTGCTTTTGAAAAGGAACTTCCCCTAGTTAGAAAGGCAAACCTGAAATAAAAGAATGGAGGAAGAGTTTAGTTAAAAATGAGAGTAACCACCAAATACCTGTTGAAGAAAGTAAGCCATACAATACAAGACAAAATAGATATCAAGGCAAAAACATTATCAAAGATACAGAAAGTTGCTTTCTGATGATAAAGTGGTCAAATCATGGAAAAAAATTTAAAATTGTAATGCTTAATAAGTTAGCCTTAAATTTTTATTAGCAAAAATTTTTATTATGAGAAGTTGACAAATTATCATAGTGGGAAAATTTCTCATTGCTCTCAGTGAATGATGTGACAAGCCAGTAAAACTAGGAAATATGGCCAACTTACAGACTTTCTTAGTCTTACAGTCTTGTAGCTTAATAGCTTAGTGGGTACACTGTAAAGAATGTCTTAATCAGATCTCACAGGGAACATTTTCTCACCACGTATTACTCCATTAAGCATGTCGCAGTTGTGTCAGAAAACCTGTATTATCATTCTTTCAGTTTTAGGCAATTTATATTTGAATTTAGCCTGATAAAAATTATAGAAGCCTATAAAAAATTTCTTGATGGTGAAATGTTAGACACAGTTTCATTAAAATCAAGAGAAAGACAATGTTCCTTATTGCTGCTTCTCTTCCCATTTTATTAAAAGCAGGACGAGAAAAGGTAAAAATGTAGTTTGAGCCCGGCGTGGTAGCGCACACCTGTAGTCCCAGCACTGGGGAGGCAGAGGCAGGTGGATCTCTGTGAGTTTGAGGCCAGCCTTGTCTACATAGTGAGTTCCAGGCCAGCTGGGGCTACAGGGAGACCCTGTCTCAAAAAGAGCAAAACCCTGACCCAAAAAAAAAAAAAAAAAAAAAAAAAAAAAATGTAGTTGTAGTTTGGAGAGAAGGAAACTCAGGATTCCATAGGATATGATTATATACATAGGAAAAGTAAGGTAGCTGAATATAAGATGAGCATAAAAACATTACTTGTAATATTTCAATAACTAGACATCTATATAGTAGTTATATAATTTAATTATACATCTATATAGTAGTTATAAGAGTTAAAGCCTTATAAATTTAAAAATTTTTATTTTATGTGTATTAGTATTTTGCCTGCATATATATAAGTGCACCCATGTCATGCAGTACCCACAGAGGCCAGAAGGGATGCAAGAATGTTTTAGATCCCCTGGAATTAGAGTTATGGAAGATTGTTAGTTGCCAGGTCCTGGAAACTGAACCCGGGTCCTCTGTAAGAACAACCAGTGCTCTAAACTGCTCAGTCATTTCTCTAGCCCCAAGTTAAAACTTAAAAATAAAAATACCATACTGCACTAGTATTAAAAACGTTAAATATGGCAGATCTGTATGCACATGAACTGTAACACTATATATATATACTATATATATATTA